AGTAGACAAGCCCCGTTTACAGACTGCTGAGGCCATCACCTTGGGGGCCTAGTGTCCAAGCAGGCATGCCACCCCAACTCCAGCAATGGCTTCAATTTGCATTGATAATACAAAGGTGGTAACGGTAAGTGTGACAATGGAAACCTTTTTAGAAAATCACTTGTAAATCCTCTACCCGATGCAACTATTTTCATACTTTCATGTTCCATTTTGGCCTTTAACCACATGCTTATAAATTGTTCCATAATGGCAAACCATGGTGTTCACATTTCATACTTAATGCATGTTCTTTTTCTTCTCTTGGTTTATTTTCTTAAGACAAATTCTTAGTTATGAGTTTATTGGATTAGGGGTATGACAACTCTTTTGGGGGAAGAGATGTTAGAATGTCTGTAACCGTATTGCTACCCAATACCAGTGGTGGTTATTTTATTAAATTAAAAGTGTAAAATAATATCTCTGGATTGTCTTTAAGTTTCATTTCTAGCGAAGGTGAATATTTTCCATTAATTATATTGTCTTTCCATTTCAGTATAATGTCCAGAATTTTTGTATGTTGCAGATATTCACCCTTTGTCATAATTGCTGTAGATAACATCATTTGTTTCCTTTTTTATTTTAATGTTACTCTTAATTTTATGGGAATTTTAAAACTTTTTATCTGTTTTATATTGATATTTTTGTACTGTGGATTGTTTTTTTCCTGTTGGCTTGAAAGCAAAGGAGATTAACATAGTCCTGAAATACCCTGTTCTTTTGGGTGCGTGCCTGCATGCATCCTTTAATATTTAGATTGATTCTGGCTTATTTAGTTCCTCTCAGGTTGCTAACCAGCTGTCTCAACATTTAAATAATTCTTTGTTTTGAAAAGTTGATTTTTGACAAACACATGCCTCCTATTTGCCATGCAAATGCTTTATTCTGTTGAAATAGTTTGAAGACTTGGAAATACATTTTTCTGATAATTGTTTCCTATGCAAAAAACACAAAAATAGCTTTTGGAGATCTTTTTCTGTTGGCAGTGGTGATTAGTATTTGGGCAAAATTTATCCATATTCTTTTAGGAAACTAAGACTGTGTATATTTTAAGGTAAATGGTCTAGGTGTTAAATACATTAGTTTGTAGAGAGCTAAGTTCTTCTGATGTAACTTGGTTTAGCAAATAAGTGGGATGTCAGGGACCACTGTCACTTTGGAGTCATTCTGGCTGAATTTTGGGTTAGATCTGGATTCTAGATAAAAGCACCACTGCTTTTATCACCTTCTTGGGGTTCTTTGTAAATGCAGCTAACACCTCAAGGTGGTGGCTCAGAAGTATCATCAGCCTTTTTTCCTTCATTGAGATTCTCCGGCCACTGAGCCAGATCTCGGGGGCTCAACATTGAGCCCTGTGTTGGAAGATGCAGCTTAGTTTGGGGTCCAGAAAAAATCTCCCCATTACCTCCTTCAGTTTAAATTCTGGGTTGTGCCTATGTGGAGACCAGGATCTTCTGGTGACACTGCGGTTCAAGACCTGCTTCTTTCTCCCCGTAGGCCGGCAAAACAGGCAGTCTTTCTTCACTGCTCCTTAGGTTAAGTGGGGGGCAGGGCCAGGGTGGGGTGGGGCGATGTAGATCTCCGATGTCACTAGTCAGTTCATTGCCTTTTCTTCACATGAGAAGGACTCAACAGTAGGTGAAGAAAGACTAAGACGTTTCCCTTTAACTGTTTCTTCTTTTGTGGGTCGGAGTGGGGAAATAAGTAAGTGTAACTGGGACATCCCTGACCCTAGACCTCGTAGGGTTATCCTGGTCCAACAAAAACACACACTGCCTGTGCCAGCGCTCTGAGTCGTGTGTGGCAAGGGTGTAAGAGGACATGTATGAGCTTGGTACCTTGTGTCATTGATAATTAGGGTGTTTCTTTCTAGTTCACTGGAGTGCACCTGGCTAGTATAGTTCTTAGTGTCTAAGTTACCTGGAGTTTATGTCATGGTTGTGGAGATTCTCTGGGTGTGATTTGGACTCTGCTGTCTGTGAAAGCAGAGTTGTTTCCCGGTTGGTTGTATGTCTATGGGGCGAGGTCGGGGGAGCCTCTAGAAGAGCGGGAAGTGGATGGTGTGGAAGTGAGTGCCCTGTGGGGAATCTGCACTGCAGAGTACTGGCTGGTCCCGTTGCCACCTGGGTGCCCATGAAGCTCCCTGTGGCCTTGCCACGTTCTCCATGCTTCACTGAAGAGCTAAAGGAGACCACGGATCTTTTAGTCCCTGTGCCACATCAGGGTAATCATTTTCCAAAGGTCCAGGCAGGGGGTAGGCGGGGATCACCAATACTGTGGGAAGCTTACAGACATATGCTAATTAGTTGGTTTCTTTGTTTTCTTCTTTGGAGAAAGGAGGGAGTCTGGCTTTGTTTCCTACTTCAAAGCATTTGGGAGAACTCTCTACTGTGGTTAGGTTAAGTGATGTCCAAGGAGTAGCCTCTAGGGTTCCTGAATTTTGGGTACCATGCCTGAGCAGCCCAGTTCCCCAGTCCCTGGGGCCCAGTTCCCGGGAGGGCATGGCCACCCACCTTCCAGGCTTCTCTAGGAACCATGAAGCAGTGGGGAGTGCTTTGGCATTCCAAGGAACAGGATTGTCTTGTCTATAAAAAGGAGCAGCACCAGGAGGCCAAAATATTCTACCATGTAGAATATTTTCTTGCTTCATAGGGCATTTCTAGCCAAGTTGGCTGTTTTCTGCAATAAACTTACTTGAGTTTTTGTTAAAAATTTTTTTTTTCTCCCATATGCATGAATCTAGTCATCTGTAGCTAGGAAAACAAAACAGTGCTTTCGGGCTTCGTGATCTGCGAAACCAATGGGTGAATGAGTATTGGTTACCTTTAGTTAGTTGCCTACCAGGAGCCATCCCTACCGCACCACGACAGCTAACAGGGTCCTTCCACCTTTGCAAAGAGTCCCACAGGGACTGCAGCTCTTGGCGCCCAGGCTGATACCTGGTCTGTTGGGCATATCAGAATTACCTGGGGAATCTGTTAAAAATGTAGTTTCTGGGTCCCAACCCAGACCTACTTATCAGAACCTCTAGAGTTATAGGGCCGTGAAATCTGTATTTAGAATCAGTCATTCTGATGCTACTAGCTGGTCTCAACACCAATGACATTAAGGATTGGTCACTAACAGCTCTGTTTTAGTTGAGGATGCTGAGGCTCTCAGAGGACAGGGACTTGCCTGGGGTCAGGTCGTGTTGCTGGAGGAAGAGGGCTCTGCCTGGGAGCTCCTGCTCACCAGTTTGCATCCCCCTTGTGGCCTAGGCTGTGCTCAGGCCTCCTGTGTGTCCTTGTGTCCAGTAGTGTCCTTCAGCATTGTGTTCATACTCATTCTTGGAGAGGACTTTTGTGAAAGTGCTCTTCTGATAGCGGAATGGAGAGTTGGGGGTGGGATGCTGTGTTCCTGTCCCCTCCCTCGCTGGTGTTTGAGGCAGACAGGACTGGCTTTCCCAGCAGGGTGTTGGCTACTCTCCCATCTTTTTTGCAGGGAGGGGGCGAGTGAACGGTGGTATCCAAGCTGTGCCTGGTGAGTCTGCTCGGTGGGAAGGATGGTTGAGCAGTCGTAGCACCCATTTCCAGAGCAATATGATTTTCATGTCCTTGCTTGGCACCACTTCTCAGAACATTACACACCAGAGGCTAGGCCACTGAGGCCATCTCATAGGAACGGATTTTGCAGTAGCCACTCCACAGCGAGGTGAGGGGGCAGAAGCTAGTTTCTTACCGGTGGCTGTGGGTAGTCTCCTCACTGCTGGAGTAGCCTTGTTTGTTTTCGCCTTGGGGCCTGTTATGTTTTGTCCTTCTCACCCTTGGAAGTGGGAGGCAAATGGAGCTGGGGATAAACATTCCTTGTAAGCCACAGATCCCACCCTGCTCTGTGGGTCAGCTTGAGACATGCTGCAGGGAACATGGTGGAGGGGTTAGAGGCTCACCTGGATTATCACTGGTTTCCAAAAGGAAAGTAGTAAAGGTGGGTCAAGACCTTCAAATTCCCCTTCGAGAGCACCAACTTTTTGTAGGATTCTGTGAGAAACTTTGGGAGATGGACACAGTTAAAAAAGAGTGACCCCCACCCTTCACTCCATGTGGTTTAGAGTGCTCTGTAACTGAAGCTTTACTACAGCCCCAGGAGGCCAAAACAGTGGTCTCTTTGGGTGGAGTGGGATGTTAAGAGGTGGAGTGGGGGTGGGGTGTAGGTGAGGTTAAGCAGGAGGGGAAGAGGAGGGAGGAGTGGAGTGAATGCTGGGTTCACAGGATCTCTGTCCAGGGCACGGTGCTCAGCCTTCCTCACCTGTGTAAGGGGTGAGCTTGGAAGATTGTCTCAGAAAATCTTAGATGAACGAATATGGAGTCTTAATTCTAGCTTTTCTTTATCTGTCAATTATGTCCAAACCTGGCACTTCTGTCTTCTTCCAAACGTGGCTCTCAGTGGGAAGCCCCCATTTCTTGGTTTGGCCCTCAACTCCTGGCTGCTTTGACCCAGGCAGTGGTAGGTGGAAGGAAGGTGGACCATGGAATCCCCGTCCTTGGTTCAGATCCTGGGCCCTGTCATTTTTGTCTTGTCTTTGGGAAAGTCACATGACCTTTCTGAACTCTTTCCTCCATCATGAAGTGGAAAAATCAGTACTCAATGGAGAGGTGATGAGATAAATGTTTGAGAAGGCTCCAAGCAGAAGTCCTGATATTTAGGAGTCACTTTAAAAATCACCATTTTCCATTCTTTTGCAAATTTTTTTATTCTTTTGGATGCTTTTGGAAAGTTGACTTAACCTGATTTTTGACTAAGCTATAGTTGATGGTAAACATTGATGGTAAAACTGTGTCTGGATGAGTAAAAACACAGAGAAACAATTTGGAGATTTCTGGAGTCTGTGTATGAACTTTACCTTTGCCCTTTCCTTGGGGAGCAGATTTTGGGGAGATGTTTTGAAAATGAACCTGCCACCTCATCGCTCCCATGTCTCTCCACAGATCCTGCTTTTCAGAAGATGCACTATTATAGATACTCTAATGCTGAGGTCAGCTGCTGGTACAAGTACCTCCTCTTCAGTTACAACATCGTCTTCTGGGTGAGTGGATGAGAGTGGCCGCACCCCTTGCTTAGTCCTTCATTTAATAAATCAGGATTCTTCTCACACTTGACTTGTCGGGCCCCCCCGGGCCTCTGGATGGGCAGGGTTGATGAGTCCTGTCCTAGCAACAAGAAAATTATAAAATGGACCCTGAAGTGCCTTGATGGGGAAGGCCAAAGTGATTGAAAACCAGACTGAGGGGCTCCTATCCCAGCCTTGGGAGTTCAGGAAGGTTTCGGGCTCTGGCCCAGATGTGTGTCTGTTTACCCCTGTCCTTGTCCGAGAAATGCCTTAATGAGACATCGGCATTGTGTGCTTCTGCCTGTAGACCAGGCCCTTTTCTAAGTTCTAGAAAGTAAACTGGATAAAGACAATAAAGCCTTGCCCTGTGGTGCTTGTGTTTAACTAAAAGTGGTATTAGCCTGCTGAGCAGTGGAGCAGGGAGGGGGAAGCTTCTTGGCTAGGGTGGTGAGGGAAGGACATTCTGAGTTGATGACTTGTAGGCTGAAACCTCAGTTCTGAAGAGGCAGCCACATGGAGGCAGGGAGAGAAGCATTTGCAAAGGGCCTGGGGCAGGAATGAGCTTGACATATGCAGGGTACAAAGAGAAGGGCATAGGACTAGAGCCAAGTGAATGCAGGGGAGAGGAGACAAAGGTGAAGACAGAGGCACGAAGGAGCCAGGTCATGTAGGACCATACAGTTCTCCGTAAGTACTTGGAATGATTTTCTACTTTTAAAAGTAACTCTTGGTAGGTTATAAGTTGGATGGTGTGATATGAGTTTTGAATGATTCTCCATAGTGAGAGGATGGATGGTGGTACTATGTCCTGAGATGGAATTTTGGGGCAGAAGGGTTCGAAATGGTCTCTTAGCCAGTTACATAGAGATGGTAGTTTCCTGTGTCAGTGACCATCCTAGAGAGGAAAGTCTTGGCCACATCAAAAGAAGAGGTAGACTGGATGAGATCATTGCAGGAGAACATGTTGGCTAAGAAGAGGAGAGGTTTGGATATTGAGCCCCGGAATGCTGGAGGTGAGATTGAGGAGGAAAGTCCACCCCAAAGCTGGCGGTGAGTGAGTGGCCTACGGTGAAAGGAAGACCTAGAGATTTTGTATCATGGAAACCTTGAGAGAAAACCTTTCAAGCAGAGAGGAGCAGTCAGCTGAACCACAGAGAGGTGAAGAAGGACAAGGACAGAAAATTGTCACTGGCTTTGACAAGGTGGAGGTTGGTGACCTTGACCAGAGCTGTTGTGTGCTCTGGGGGGACTGAAACTCACGCGGAATTGGCTGAGGGGCCAGTGAAACGTGGAGACTGGTGACTCCTGACAGTTCTTTCAAGGACTCTTGTCTGAAAGAGGAGCAGAACGATTGGGCACTGGCTGGCGATGGTCCAGAGGTTAAAGGAGATATAGCATGTTGTGTTGCCAGTGTGATTGCTCCAGGGGGAGGCAGAGATTGATTCTCTGCAGGAGGACATGATCAAGCACAGAGGCTTTTAAAACCATTAAGCAAGCACCATTTATCAGTGTCTGTGTGCGGCAGACACAGAGGTAGGGACAGAATGAATGACCATGATGCCACATTTTGCCTCTGCTGTGGATTTTGCCATTTCCTACTTGGACTGAAACTTTTTTCTTTACATTTATTTTTAATTATAGTTGACATTTGCTGTCATTAGTTTCAGGTGTAAAACATAGTGATTCAACATTTATGTATCTTATGAAGTGATCACCACAATAAGTCTAGTGACCATCTGTCACTATACATAGTTATTAGGACTGGAACTCTTGAAAACAAAGCAGACTCACCAAGACTTCTCAGCCTTTTACCCTTGATTATACAGCATCATCTCCTGATAATTTATCTCAAAGTTTTGGGGGTTTTCTGTCCTGGAGAAACAGGGTGGGATTCAGTGGCAGGTCCATTCACCCCAGGTCTTTTCCTGTGCTCAGACAACTTTTCACCGACCCCATCATTGCCACTGAGGCCAGGCAGTGCTGGTCATTGGATGTGGTTCCTGTGGACCCCTCCTGATGGGAGGAGTGGCTGTCCCCACCTCGGGATGTATGGCTTACCAGACCTGCATTATTCCCTGACTGGAAGAGAGCCCCTTGTCCCTACCTGGACTCCCTGCCCCAGCCAGGTGTATGATGGAGGGCCACCTGGCCTAGGCAGGCAGCCTTGCACTTTGGACACTTTTACATCCAGCCGTCATCCCCGCTGCCGGCTGAGCTTGCTTGCCTCTGTGCCTCAACTTCTGACTCATGCTGGTTTTTGCAGCTAGAGTGAAACTCTCGACTGTTGCCGTGGCTGAGGGTATCTCTGTATCTTTTTTTTCAGAAGCATTTTAGAGCACATTCTAGGGAAGCTTTATTCACTTGCCTGATGATACCTTTGCAGCACTGAATTCAAATAGTGGAGTTCATGAATCCAGAACTGTAGCAGTCTGGTGATTGAAGGGTACTGCAGCATTATCAGAGTTTTGCAGAATTGGTGATGCATGTGGTTGAGAGTTAATCATTTTTCAGTTAGTGTGCACTGGGGCAGAACAGGAAGGGACAAAAAGGAACATTCAGGAAAATGAGACCTGAAGAGAACTTGGTGGGGAAATGGAGAGGGGGAGACCAGGCACCTGGCTGGGGAAGGCTACTCAGCTCCTCCCACTAGGTTCTTGGCAATGATTTGTTGTCTTCATCTGCACAGGAGCTAAAAATATGGAGTGAGGCCTGAGAAGGGAGGCCCCTGGGGCCCAGTCTAGACTCTCACCTGAACTAGTGACCTTCTTGGTAAGCCTCAGTGTATTCATTGTGAAATATTGATCTCACTTGTCTGCTGCCTGCCTCACAAAGTTGCTGAAAATGTCTAAAATGATGTCAAGCCCTTACCTCCTTACAGAAGTTCTCTTTTATAAGTGGAGAAAAATACAAAAATAGAATATAATATAATGAACGCCCACATTCCCATCATCTAGCTTCAAAAATTACCAACTCATCCATCTTGTTTAGTTTATACCCCACCCCCACCCCTTGGATATTTTGAAGCAAAGCACAGATAGATCATTTTGCACAGAGATTTTTTATAGTATTTGTTTTGTTTTGATGAACTAACAATGAGCGGTGGAGCAGAAGGATTGCGGTGTTGATGGGGGACCTGGGCTCAGCAGGCAGGTTTGAATATGCAGAAGGCAATCTGTTGTTTCTTTGACCAATTCTAGGTGCTGCAACAAGCATAGATTTATTTAGCATTTGTCCAGTTCAGAATTATTTTCACAGTAACATTCTTTATAACAAATACCTGCAACACTCTAGCAGTTTTCTTAAGCTTCTCTCCCTTCAATTAAGGTGCTGAGATTTTTTTCAAGAGGCCAGTGATGGTAATACTCACTTGGGGTGAGACACGTGTATGCCACTAACGTCTGTGCCTCAGTTCTGAACTGCGTGTTTTCCCAGTGAGCATGGAGCTAGGCTTCATGAGATTCTCATCACAGGGATGTCAGGGAAACCGTGCTTCAGCCGACATAGCATTTTGAGGGCACTAGCACTTTTTACATTTTTTTCCCCATTATAATCATTCTTTGGTTGTGTTAGACCTATGTCTAGTGCAAATTCTAGTTTTGACTTAGGAAATACAAATCAAAACCACAGAATGATACCAATTTACACCCACGAAGATGGCTATTATGGAAAAAAACAGAAAATAGCAGATGTTGGCGAGAGTATAGAGCGCTTGGGACCCTTGTACACTGTTTGTGAGATTGTAAAATGGTGCAGCTGCTATGGAAAATAGTGTGGCAGTTCCTCGAAAAGTTAAAAAATAGAATTACCATAGGACCCAGCAATTATCCTTCTGGGCATATGCCCCAAAGAATTGAAAGCAGGATCTTAAAGAGATACCCGCACATCCATGTTCATAGCAGCATTATTCACAACAGCCAAAGTGTGGAAATAACTAGGTATCTACCGACGGGTGAATGGATAAACGAAATGTGGTCTATACATGCAATGGAATGTCATTCAGCCTTAAAAAAGAAGGCAGTCCTGTTATATGCTACAACACGAATGAAACTTGAGGACATTATGCTAAGTGAAATAAGCCAGTTACAAAAGGACAAGTACTGTATGATTCCACTTACACGAGGTACTAGAGTAGTCAAATTTGTAGAAACAGAAAGTAGAAGGGTGGTTGCCAGGGGTAGGGGGAAGGGAGAATGAGAAGTTATTGTTTAATGGGTACAGAGTGTCAGTTTTGCAAGCTAAAAAGTTCTGTGGATGGTGGCGATGGTTGCATGACAGTATGAATGTACTTAGTGCTACTAAGCTGTACACTTAAATATGCTTAACTTTCTGTTATGTATACTTTACTGTAATTAAAATTAAAAAAATACATATCTTACTTTGACTTGCAGAGGAAGAGAAGCTGAGACAGATGTACGTTAGAGGAACTGTTTATGGCCCTTTGTTCATTTTTACCCACTTGGTTCCACAAAGAATTTGTGCTTTCCTGGTTCTCCTGAGTGAATCCTCTAAAGCAGTGGCCCCTAACCTTTTTGGTACCAGGAACCAGTGCTCCTATGAGAATCTAATGCCTGATGGAGCTGAGGCAGTGATGCTAGCGCTGGGGAGCGGCTGCAAATACAGATGAAGCTTCACTAGCTCACCCGCCACTCACCTCCTGCTGTGTGGCCTGTTTCCTAACAGGCCATGGACTGGTCCTGGTCCACAGCCCAGGGTTTGGGGATCCCTGCTCTAGAAAGATGATCCAGATAATGCCAGAAATTCCACGGTTGTTTCCCACCACAAGTGTTGAGTTTAATCTGCCAAAGGTTCGGATAAAGCCCTTGCCCGGATCTATTTCAGAGGTGGATTGAAAGTGAAGAACTGAGGCCCCTCGTGAGTATGGACAAAAGCCTGTATTACAGAGGAGAGCCCTCTGCCATTGCCCTCCTCAGTCACTTGGGCAGGTCTGCGCCACAGCTTCCTTGCTTGTGAAATGC